ATGTGACAGTATTTGGAGATAGAGTCTATAAGAAGTGATTAAGGGAGCCAGCAGGTGGCATGATGGTTAAGGTGCTGGACACTCCCATGTGGCAGACCAGGATTTGAGTCCCAGACTTGGTGGCTTGCCTTCTCATTTTCCTTCTCTCTCTGTTTAGTTCTCTGTCAAAATAAATTAATGAATAAATAAAATTAAATAATTAAAAAATAATGAGTAAAATAAAATAATTATTTTTAAAAAAGTGATTAAGTTAAACTGAGGCCACTGGATGGTGCTCTAATCCCATGATTGGTATTTCCCTAAGAAGAAAGATACCAGGGTATGCACTGGGAAAGAGAAAGCCATGTGTGGACACAGCAAGAAGCAGCTATCAGCAAGCCGAGGGGTGAGGCCCCAGGACAACCAAACCTACAATGCTTGGTCTTGGACTTCCAAGACTCCAGAACCAGAAAAGAGTACATTTTATTGTTTAAATCATCTAGTCTAGTCTGTGGCATTTTGTCACGGCAGCCCTAGCAAATTATTGGGTTGTTGGAAAAGTCATGACGAAATTTTGCAGAGAAAAACAAAAAAAGTCATGACTCTTCAGACAACCCAATAACATAATCTCCTTCAGAGACACCCAGTTTTCTTTCCATTCTTTTGTTGAAAACAGTTTGAAGTCAACAAACAACCTTCACCATGAAACTGACAAGACTGTATAGCTAACATCTGGTTATTAAGTTATTAGGGTGAAATATGCCAGGTTTTTATTTTTAAGAATTATTTACTTAATTTTATTTGTCATTATTATTATTATTATTATTTAATTTGCTACAGGGCATGTGAACTCACCAGAGAGAGACAGAGAGAGGGAAGGTGAGAAAGCAAGCTACCAGGCCAGGGACTTGAACCATGGTCAGCCATGTGGGAGTCAGCACCTCAACTACCACACCACCTGCTGGCCTGAAATATGACAGGTTTTGATTCAACCAACCTAAAGCCAAAACTTCAGGATTTTCCAGTCACATAAGGCAATATATTTTGCTTTTTTTTTTTTTTTTTTTGAGAGAGAGAGATTTTTTGCTATAGGGCATGTACATTTGCCAGAGAGACAGAGATAGAGAGCAAGAAATCCCCCCTCCCCCCAGGGAGAATGGTGACACCACAATCCCTTCTCCTCCATTCTCCTCTCAGGATCATGGGCATGCACACACACACACCATGTAAGTTTTAAACCACTGGGTCTGGGACTTGAACTGCAGCCGATTATGTGGGAGTCCAGCAACATAACCATTATGCTATCTGCTGGTCTCCCACATTTTCTTTTTTCTTTTTTTTTTTGTTTGGTATATGGCAGGTGCACTCGTCAGGGAGATAGGGCAAGAGAGAGGAAGTGAGAAATCTCTCCCAGAGGATAGCTGCACAGCAATCTCTTCTTCATTCTCTTCTCAGGACTGTGGGCATGCATGCACATGTGCCCAGTGTGAGTTTTCAAGCCACTGGGTCCAGAATTTGAACCACACAGTCAGCCATCTGCTTAACTACCACACCACCTATGTGGCCCACATTTTCCTTATTTTTATTTTTTAAACAATTATTTATTTAATTTAATTTAGTAGTAGTAGTAGTAGTAGTAGTAGCAGCATTTTAAATTTGCTATAGGGCACATGTGCTCGCCAGAAAGAGTGGAGTGGGGGGTAGGGTTGTGGCAGGGGAAGAGAAGGAAAGTGTGAAAGCAAGCTGCCAGGTCTGAAACTTAAACTGTGGTCAGCCATGTGAGAGTCCAGTGGCTTAACCACCATGCCACCTGCTGGCTCCATTTTCCTTTTTTCTCTAAAGCCAGTATGAGACTTCTGCTATTTGCAAGAAAAAAAATCCTAAAGGATACTTATGGGTGCAAGGGTTCAAATGTGAATAAAGTCAGATCTCAGCCCTTGAGGAAGTGCAGAAGCTCGTTTGCACTCATCAGATTGGCAAAAAGTAAAAACAAAAATCATATTACTTTCTGAGGTGGGTTCTAAGAAGCAAGTATGGTCATACATCGTTGGTAGAAATATAAATTTGCAACAATTCTTTTAGAAAGCCGTCTGAGGACTGGCACGTGATGTGGTGGTTGAGGTGCTGGACTTCCACATGATCGACTGTGGTTTGAGTCCTGGACCTGGTGGCTTGCGTTCTCCCTTTCCTCTCTGTCTCTTTCTGGTTAAATTAAAAAATAATAATAACAACAACAAATAAAATTAAACAAATAAATAATTATTTTTAAAAAACAATCTGACGATTTATTACATTAGGCTTAATCTCCTGAAATTACTATTTCTTTAGGTCAAAATGGTTGAATAGCAACAGGTTCATTTGGTTCAACCTATATACATTAAATACATGCATGTTCTTTGACCCAGCTCTCTCTCTTAGGAATATAGCCTGTAGAAATAAAAGCATTAGAATGGAAGCTCTTCATGCAAGGATGCTTACTCAGCATTGCTGATGACACAGCAAAACAGAACTAGACCTAACCTCAACATGACTGTACACACAAATGATGGGAAATTACCCCCAACTATTGAAATAACGAGTTAGATAGGGGAGTGTCTTCAAAAGTTAATGGAAAATGTATATTATGAGAAAACTAACCAGAGATTTCAAAAAAATTTTGCATCAAAATAAACTTGTACTTTAATTCCATTTCCCCATGAGCTTTTCGATGTCTCCTAGTATCTGTATTGTTCACTTGGAGAGGTGTCCATGATGTTAACTCCAAAAAAGGAGAATACCATCTTTAGAATTATCCCATTTCTGTAAAAACAGAGGACAAAGAAAAGCTTGTATGTCTGAACAATTATGGAGAAAGGAGTGAAAAACAAATACCACACAGAGGAGATTGGTTACCTCAAGGAGGGGGTTATCAGGGAATTAAGGGGAAGTTTTTAAGTTCTTTAAACATCTTTGCATTGTTTTCCTGTATTACATGACTGACAAAGACTGGGCTGTGTGTGTGTGTGTGTGTGTGGGGGGGGGTTATATAATTGAATTTATCACTGTGGGGTAACTGGGACTAACTTAGGGCCAGTGGAGAGTTCAAAAGTCTGTAACTGACAGCTAACGTTCATTGACTCTTTACTACTAGTCAATAGTTTAAGCACTTGATGGCTTTTCAAGTCATTTCATTCTTCCAAAAGGCATTTAAGGGACCAGCAAATGGCATAATGGTTTCGTTGCTGGACTCCCACATAGTTGATCACAGTTCAAGTCCCAGACACAGCAGTTTAAAACTCACCCGGGGCGCATGACTGCATGCCCAAATTCCCACAAGAGAATGGAGAAGGGATTTCAGTGTGGCCACTCCCCTTGTGGGGGATGATTTCCTCCAGTCTTTCTGTCTCTGTCTCTCAAGCCTACATGACCTATAGCAAAAATCTCTCTTAAAAAATGAAAGACATTTGGGGACCAGCAGGTGGTGTGGTGGTTAAAGTGCTGGACACACCCACATGGCCAACCATGGTTCAAGTCCTGGACCTGGTGGCTTACTAACTCTCTCTCTCTCTCTCTCTCTCTCTGGTCAAATGAAAATAAATGAATGAATAAATTTTTTAAAAATTAAAATAAAATTATTAAAAAAATAAAGACATTTAATTTAATTTCCATAATGACTCTGGGGGGTTATGCAGGATTGTTTTTTTAGAGAGAGAATTTTAAAAATTCTTCTAGAATTTTTTTTTTTCAAGAATTATTTTGTTGGGAACCAGCAGTTAGCGTAATGGCTATGTCGCTGGACTCCCACGTAGTCGACCGTGGTTCGAAAATAAAATTATTAAAAAAATAAAGACATTTAATTTAATTTCCATAATGACTCTGGGGGGTTATGCAGGATTGTTTTTTTAGAGAGAGAATTTTAAAAATTCTTCTAGAATTTTTTTTTTTCAAGAATTATTTTGTTGGGAACCAGCAGTTAGCGTAATGGCTATGTCGCTGGACTCCCACGTAGTCGACCGTGGTTCGCGTCCTGGACCCGGTGGCTTAGAACTCACGCCGGACGCGTGTGCATGCGTGCCCAAGATCCCAGGAGGAGAATGGATTGTGGCATGACCATGCCCCCTGGGGGGTGATTTCTCGCTTTCTGTCTCTGTCTCTGTCTGTCTGTCTGGCGAGCGCAAGCGCCCTATAGCAAAGACCTCTTAAAAAAATGAATTATTTTGTTTAACTTTATTTAGAGGGACAGAGCAAGAGCGAGAGCAAGCGAGAAAAGAGAGGGAAAATGAGAAAGCAAGCTGCCAGATTCTTATTTTCATTTTGCAAGAGGGTGTACTGCAGCAAAGAGAAGTTAAGTAACTATCTCTACACCATTAGTAAGCAGCAGGTGCACGTTTCGAACCAGCTCAGTCTAAAGCCAACAGCTTTGCTTGGCTCACAGTTCCTATCTTTTTTTTTTTTTGGAGAGGTTTTTGCTATAGGGCGCGTGCGCTCGCCAGACAGAGAGAGGGAGACATAGAGACAGAAAGTGAGAAATCACCCCCCAGGGGGGATGGTCACTCCGCAATCCCTACTCCTCCATTCTCCTCTCGGGATCTTGGGCATGCACGCACACATGCCCGGCGTGAGTTTTAAGCCAAGCCACCAGGTCTGGGACTACGTGGGAGTCCAGCGACATAACCATTACGCAAACTGCTAGTCCCACAGTTCCTGTCTTAGACTACCTCTCCTCTTGCAGAGGCCCCAAAGGCCCTGTTAAGAGCATGGTGTTGCAGTGATGAGTGGGACCCCACAGAGGCAGGAGCGCTCACTCCTAAGGAGGGAGTCTGAAGAGATTGGCCGGAGGTGACCTTTGCTTGAATTGGCTTGTGCAAGGAGAGCATAAGTTCACCGGGCAGACTGGGGCAGGCGGCAGGGGTCAGCACCCCGGGGTGCAGGAGTGGACTGCGGGAAAGCCGCAGATCCAAGAGGCGTCTGGGGCTCAGGGTAAGCACGGGGTGGGAGGGCCGGACTCCGGCTCTCTGGTCCCTAGTCTGACCCCTTCCTACCTGAGCAGCGCAGGCTGCGTCCCCACTCGAACGCCGGGCGCAGGTGCAGTATCACCTGGGCAGGGCTCCGATGGGAGCTTGTGCTGTTGGAAGTACTCCTCCCCGCTACAGACACACAGATTCACATGCATTCCTCGGATCCCGATTTCCCTTCCGTGACACTCTCGGGGCAGCGGCTCCCACACTTCCAGAAACGGCTCCGCCCAGAAGCCCCACCCTCTGCTGCGATCCGCTGTAAATCCCGGCCCCCGGCGGGCTGCCTCGCACTCACAGCCGCCCTCTCCAGGCCGTGCGACCTGCGCACTCTGGTAAATAGATGTACTTCTCGTACCTTTTCTCACTCCCTCTCTCTCCCTCTCCGTCTCTCTTTCTCTCTCTCTCTCGCTATCTTCGTGCAGTTTCTAGGCTCCCCCTTTGAGGCCCGTTTGCGCGAAGCTCCCCCCGCCCCCGGTCTGGTGAATAACTTCCGGGTCTTGCACTGGGAGCCCTTGGGGAGCGCGGTGTCCCGAGGCTCCCGGGTCCCTGCGGGATCTCGGAGCCCGCTGCGTGCACTGAGAAGGGCCTGGTGGTGGAACTTGGGGGACTGAGAGACGGGCACGTTTGGAAGAAAGATGGGGGTGGGAATTCGGGAATGGGCACCGCGGGGGCGGGCGTGGCGAGGAAGGTGAGAGCCAGAGGCGAGACTCCCAAACCGCGCCTGTCTCTGCGGCCAATTCGGAATTCCCAAAGGCCGACAGGTTGGGAAGAGGGACAAGAATACGTGGAATGTAAAAAAGCTGAACTCATTATAGTGGAGAGTAGACGGGCGGCAGGTGGCGTGGTGGTTTAGGGCGCCGCTGGACTCCCACATGGGTGACCACAGTTCGAGTCACAGACCAGACCTGGCGCCTGCCTCCCCTCCCCCCCCCCCTAAAATAAATAAATAAATAAAGTTAAATAAAGAATAATTCTAAAATAAAAATAAGTAGAGAATAGAATCATGGATGATGGTTATGGGAAACTGGGAGAGGATGGAGATGATTATGTGTTTTGAGATCAATATTACAGCAGAATGACTAGAGTTGATAATATTGTATATTTCAAAATGACTAAATTTCAAGTGTCTCATCATAAAAATAATAAGTAAACCAGGTGATGACTATTTTAGTTAAATTTAACCATTCCACATCGTATGCACATATCAAAACACCACACCTCAATAACGTATATATTATGATGTCAATTAAAAATACTATTAATTGGAGAAAAAAAAGAAGAACAGCGGGGCTTCTGATAGGACCTCCCAGGAGGGCTCCACTTGCAACGCACTGTCTCTCCAGGGTGCGAGTGTCCCTTCCCGGCCTCTGGTCCGAGGACAGGGGGAAATCGCCAGCTGCTGCGGGCTGGTTTGTAGCCGGGCTCTCATGAGTTTGGGGGAGTTTGGCCTAGGCCCAATTCCCTGCCCCAGAGCTCAGAACAGCCTTTCACCTACTCTTTGTTTTGTGAGGACGGCAAGTTTAAATTCAAATCCTTGATTTTCCACTTGGGAGCCTAAGAAAATTCGAGTCTGAAAACGGGGCGGAGCAGCGGCGCCACCCAGTGGTTTTCAGGTGTTCCTGAGCCAGCCTTGGAACGCCGAGCTCGCTCCTGAAGGAAGCGCTTGGACTTCTATTCCTGTTGGGTTCTTTGCATTTGATTATTTTCTTAGGATTCTCTTTAGGCGAGGTGAGAAAAAGGAATATTTTCATGCCGGGGAGCCGTTCAGTGCCCGAGAGGAACTCTAGTCTAGCGATGGCTGGGAAGAATTTCTGGATCCGTTTACAATTTTCTCCTTTGTCTCAGAGTTTTCTTTAAACTCAGTTTCCTCAGCTCTTCCCTGGCAGTGAAACTTCTGTAGCTTATAAAGAAGTTAGGAGGGTAAAATGAGGTCATACATTGAAGTGCTTAGCACAGCACCAGAAACCTGGTAAATGCTACATTAACGTGATTGGTTGTTAATTATGATTGGAAGTGTTATGGTTGGGTGGTCCAGTGCAAGCACGGGGGACCCGAAAGAATCCAGTCAACTTATGGCAGCTTACTACATGTTTACTGTATCCTAGGAGCTTCAGGATGGTGAAAGCTAAGAGCTGGGCCCTGAAGAAGCACTTCGAAGGCAGTCCTACTGATAGTAACTTTGAGTTGAAGACAACTGAGCTCCCACCCTTAAAAAATGGAGGTAAGTCATAAGGTTTCAGAGTTGGAAGAAACTGTATCAGTTTGCTTTTGCTGCATAACAAAGTTGCCCAAAGTTCAGTACTTTAAACAATCACTTATTCATAATCCTGCAGGTAGGCAATTCAGGCAGGGTTGTGCCAGGTGGTTCTTCTGTAAGTCTGTCTGGGCTAAATGGTTAATTTGGGATGGGCCCTCACTCACATGTCTTGTCAGCAGGCTT